ATACTTTCGCAAGGCACTGTATCAACGTAATCATCCTGAGGTGCTAACATGATAGTGTACTCTGTGATACTGTGGGGATGTGTTTCTCCAGCTGATGCAGCACTCCTCATTGTGGTAAAAACTGCAAAACAATGACAAACGTATCAGTGTCTCAGCATGGTATAACACATTGTTAAAGAAGAGTAAGGTGTTTTGTCTTACAGACAATTACTCTTACAGACAAAAGTCAGTAATAGTAAATAATGTTTGCTTCATCAGACAAATATACTGTAGATCCCACCTGTTTAAAATGAATTCTTTATCTATCTCCTCCAGGGTCTTTCCTTTGGTCTCTGGTAGCATGAAGTAGAAGAAGATTCCAGCTACCACAGCAGCCACCCCGTACAAAATAAACACGCCTGACAGACCAATCTCACCTGTTGAATAGCAACACAGTGTTATTGCACAGTGAGTGTGTTTCGAACATACAGTATGTTACATTTTATTCACCTACAGTTGTTCAGATTTATCTAAATCCATCTTTACAAACATCTCAGATTCTCCTCTGTCCTCTAGCAGGATGTTTCCAAGGCGATAAACATAAAGTGTACATTATTCATGAGCACAGTTTGATTGGCTGGAGGTGATGACTCTTTTCACCCCTAGCCAATCAGAATAGGACCTAATGAATAATGCAAATATTCCTATGGTCAGTCATTTTCTTGCATAATGGCTGCAGCTGCAAATACAAGACACCATATAAAGCAGGGGTGGGCAAACTATGGCCCACAGGCCACATCTGGCCCGTTGGTCCTTTTAATCCGGCCCGCCGAAGATTGGTACAGGATTGCCCTAATCAAATCATATCATAATTATGGCTGCATTCATTTGACCTTGACCTGTAATGCCTGGCGTTCCACCGGGTGGCGCATTAGGCGTGGTGATACATTGACTTGATTTTGCGGAGCCAGGGCTACTCTCAGTTATTACTCCGCTACTGCTCTGAACCCATCTGCAACAATGAGTGGGCCAAAGAAAAGAAAAGTCGACAGTGAGTGCCGAGTGTTCAATAAGGAATGGACAACTAAATGTTTTTTTACTGAAGTCCAGTCAAAGGCTGTATGTCTTATTTGCCAAGAAACCATTGCGGTTTTAATGGAATACAACATCAGCCATCACCTTTCTACCAAGCATGCTAATTATGCTAACAACCAGTCAACGCAAGAACGGACAGTACTGCTCAGAGGCTGGCAGCTAGTTTGCAGGCTCAGCAAAACACCTTTCTCCGACAAACTGCCATCCAAGAATCAAGCACAAAGGCAGGTTATTTGCTGGCATTCAAATTAGCAAAGACCAGCAAGCCTTTCTCCGAAGGGGAGTTTCTCAAAGAGTGCAGGGTAGAGACAGCAGGTATCTTGTGTCCTGAGAGCAAGAACAAATTTGAAAAAAATTAGCTTATCACGCAGGACAGTGACTCGCCGTGTTGAGCTAATTGACGAAGACTTAGCTAGCAAGCTAAACAAAAAAGCAGTCATTTACATTATATTCCTTGGCACTGGCATTTTTATCAGAGGGATTAATAACAATTTTGAGATAATGGAGGAGTTTTTGGCCATGGAATCCCTAAAGGGGAAAACACAGGGAGAGGACTTGTATGACAGAGTGTCGGGTGTCAACGAGAGGCACAAGCTACTTTGGAGTACGCTTGCCAACGTTACCATAGATGGATCACCAAATCTGACTGGAAAAAATGTCAGGCTGCTCAAAAGAATCCAGGAGAGGGTGAAAGAGGACAACCCTAAGCAGGAGGTAATTTTCCTACACTGCATAATCCACCAGGAAGCACTGTGTAAATCCGTATTGCAGCTTGACCACGTAGTGAAGACAGTTGTAAAGCTCGTTAACTTTATTCGAGCAAGGGGACTTCAGCATCGTCAATTAAGTTTCTTGAAGAAACTGATGCTGATCGCCAGGACTTGCTTTAGTTTGCTGGTTAAGTTTGGGGAAAGTATGT